ATTTTCATTCAATTAATTATTTCTCAAATAATTCCGATAACTTTGAACCCCAAAAATTACACTTATAATATCGTAAATAAATAAATAGAATTTCCGAATAACGGACAATTCAAATTCTAAAATATCAAATGTTAATTTTGGATCAAGTTTATTCATTCCGAATTTTCAATTTTCAAGACTCTTTAAACAAGAGTGCAATCATTTTTTTTGGATTTTTCTCTTCCGATACTATTAAATCCGATTTAATCCCTCCGATTTAATTCCAAAAAAAAAAGGCTTTCTCTTCATTAATTTTCCATCACAAAACAAAACCCCATAAAAAAAAAAAAAAAAAAAAACTGCAATCTTTTTTCATCCAACGACAGCAAATCCCTCACATGGGGTAATTAATTAACTTAATTAATTAATGAAGGTTAATTATTGGATTAATCAATAATAAAACACCCCCCTCTCATCTACAAACTTGTTCTCGTCGCCGAACAACAAACTGTCATTAGTAATAATCATTTGCTTAACCTCCTCAAGATCATACTCTAATCCACTGTTTTCAACAACCCCATTCGTCAGCTTTTGATGATGATGATCAAGAATTGGATCTCCATTAACGATATTTTTCCCATAGTACTGCAGCATAAACTTCTGATTATTATCTTCATGGCCGCCATAGCTGATCTGGCTGCAGCTCCCATCAGAAGAACAGCTGGCAGCAGCAGATTCATTATTAACCCCTCCGAACACGAGCATGTTGCTGTCTTTAACAGGTTGGTTATTGTACTGAAAACCCTGGTTTTGTTGGTAGTAATTAGGAAACTGATTGGTTAAGAAAAATGGCGGCTGGCTGTTGAGATAGTTTTGTGAAGATGAGGTGTTCGACGAAATGTCTGTGAGAGATTTAGTAGCATGGGTGTAGAAAGAGGTGTAGAGGGTAGAGAGAGAGTGGGATTGGGAAAAGGGTGGTGAGAATTTGGCAAAGAGTTTCTTCTTCAGCTTTGTATTCCAGTGGTTCTTGATATCATTGTCTGTTCTTCCTGGTAATTGACCTGCTATTATTGACCACCTGCATTTTTTTGTTATTTGTTGCATTTTTCAGACAAATGTTTTGCCTTTTTGTTGACATTTTATGTATGAAATATTGTAAAAAAAAATGAAATAGTAAATTACCTGCTTCCGATATTAGCGTAGAGTGAACAGATAATTTTGTCTTCCTCATCAGAAAATTCACCATGTTTAATGTTGGGTCTCAGGTAATTAAGCCACCTCAATCTGCAGCTCTTCCCACATCTTTTAAGACCTAATATAAGGACAAGAAGATCAAATTGATGAACAAAGATGAGAGAGAGAGAGAGAGAGAGAGAGAGAGAGAGAGAGAGAGAGAGAGAGAGAGAGAGGAGGTTTTTCATTTATAAAAGATCT